CTCATATGTTTGCGGCCGGCCGATTGAACACAAACGGCCGCGGACAAACGCTCGCTATCTTTCGCCCTTGTCCTAGTTCACTTTGGAATGATCTTGGGGTCCTCTTGGGCCGTCTAGAGCCGTCGGAATGCCGAAAAGAAGCACATGCCTAAATCTTTCACAACTTCTTAGAAAAATTGATGATTTTTGCCTCTTCGGGCCCTCCTGGGGGACCTCTTGGAAGCCTCTTGGGCCGTCTTGGAGGCATTTTGGGGGCCTCTTGGGCCGTCTTAGGCCATCCGGGAGCCATCTCAGGCCGTCTTGGGTGCATCTTGGGCCGTGTTGGAGGCACCTTGGGGCCATTTTAGCCGTTTTGGGGGCCATCTTGGGCGTCTTGGAGGTCTCTTGGGCCGTCTTGGGGCCCGTCATTGAGGCCATCTTGGAGGCCTCGTGGGCGATCTTGGGGCGATCTTGGGGGCCTTTTGGGTCGTCTGATGCCGTCGGAAGCCGTTTGGGGGGCCTCTCTGGGCCGATTTGGGGCCCTCTTGGAATGCTCCAGGGCCGTCTTGGAGGCCATCTTGGGCGTCCTAAAGGCCTCCTGGGCTGTCTTGGGGGCGTCTTAGGGCTGTCTTGGGGGCCTCTTGGGCCGTTCTGGGGCCATCCTGGAGGCCTCTTGGGCGATCTTTGGGGGCTCTTGGGCTGTCTCGGGCCGTCGGAAGGCCGAAAAGAAGCAAATGCCAACAATCCTTCAACAACCTCAGGGAAAGACGTGTTGTTAGCCTCTTCTGGCCTTCCTGGAGGCCCTCTTTGGGGCCTCTTGGGCCGTCTTGGGCCAGCTTCGAGCCAACTTCGGCCATCTTGGCGGGTTCCTGGCACGTCTGACGCCGTCGGGAGCCGTCTTGGCGGCCTCTCTGAACCGACTTGGGGCCCTCTTGGGGCGCTTCGGGGCCGTCTTGTAGGCCATCTTGGGCGTCTTGGAGGCCTCTTGGCCCGTCTTGGGGTCCTCTTGGGCCGTCTTGGGGGCCTCTTGGGCCGTCATGGGGCCATCTTGGAGGCCTCGTGGGCGATCTTGGGGCGATCTTGGGGGCCTTTTGGGTCGTCTTGAGCCGTCGGAAGGCCGAAAAGAAGCAAATGTCAAAATCTGTAAAAACCCGCAGGAAAATCAATAAGTTTGGCATCTTCGGCTCCTTCTGGAGGACCTCTTGGAGGTCTTTTGGGCTGTCTTGGAGGCTTCTTGAGCGAACTTGGAGGTATCTTGGACTCCCTTAGGCCGTCTGGGAGGCCGTCTTGGACCATCTTGGGCGGACTTGGAGGCCATCTTGGACCATCTTGGAGGGCATCTTGGGCCAACGTGGCCATCTTGGAGGCCATCTTGAGCCGTCTTGGAGACTTTTTTGCGGGACTGAGGTCCCAGAGGTCCTTCCCGGGACCCCGGCGGGACGCGCCAGAGCCCCAGGGGGAGTGTTTTTTGGGAAAAGAACCTAAACCAAAACCAAAACATGATTTGGCATGCCGGGCACCCTTGTGGCAAGCCAACAGGGGGCGGCGGATATCAAAGACGCCTACGACGAATCACCGCCGCTCCCTGCCTTTTTGGAAGCGCCTATGTGGCCGAACGTTGAGGCCAGACCTGCCAAGCCATCGGACCATGTGTTCCCCGAATCCGTTTGGAAAGCCTTCGGGGAACACGTGGGCATCTTGAAGGTCATCTTGGCCGTCTGGAGGCCATGTTGACATTTTCGGGCCTTCTTGGAGGATGTCTTGGAAGGCTCTTGGGCCGTCTTGGAGGCCATCTTGAGCGTCTTGGGGGCCTCTTGGGGCCGTGTTGGGCCTCTTGGGCAATCTTTGGGGGCACTTGGGCCGTCTCGGGCCGTCGGAAGGCCGAAAAGAAGCAAATGCCAAATCAATAATTTCTGTCTTTTTCGGGCCTTCTTGGAGGCCCTCTTGGAGGCCTCTTGGGCCGTCTTGGGCCATCTTAAGGCCATGTTCAGCCTTCTTGGTGGGCTCCTGGCCCGTCTGATGCCGTCGGAAGCCGTTTGGGGGGCCTCTCTGGGCCGATTTGGGGCCCTCTTGGAATGCTCCAGGGCCGTCTTGGAGGCCATCTTGGGCATCCTAAAGGCCTCCTGGGCTGTCTTGGATTCGTCTTGGGGCTGTCTTGGGGGCCTCTTGGGCCGTTCTGGGGCCATCTTGGAGGCCTCTTGGGCGATCTTTGGGGGCTCTTGGGCCGTCTCGAGCCGTCGGAAGGCCGAAAAGAAGCAAATGCCAACAATCCTTCAACAACCTCAGGAAAAGACGTGTTGTTAGCCTCTTCTGGCCTTCCTGGAGGCCCTCTTTGGGGCCTCTTGGGCCGTCTTGGGCCAGCTTCGAGCCAACTTCGGCCATCTTGGTGGGTTCCTGGCACGTCTGACGCCGTCGGGAGCCGTCTTGGCGGCATCTCTGAACCGACTTGGGGCCCTCTTGGGGCGCTTCGGGGCCGTCTTGTAGGCCATCTTGGGCGTCTTGGAGGCCTCTTGGCCCGTCTTGGGGTCCTCTTGGGGCCGTCTTGGGGGCCTCTTGGGCCGTCATGGGGCCATCTTGGAGGTCTCGTGGGCGATCTTGGGGCGATCTTGGGGGCCTTTTGGGTCGTCTTGAGCCGTCGGAAGGCCGAAAAGAAGCAAATGCCAAAATCTGTCAAAACCCTCAGGGGAATCAATGATTTGGGCCTCTTCGGGCCCTCCTGGAGAACCTCTTGGAGGCCTCTTGGGCTGTCTTGGAGGCCTCTTGGGCCGTCTTGGGTCGTCTTGGGCCGTCTTGGACTCTTTTGTGCCGTCTTGGAGGCCGTCTTGGATCATCTTGGGCGGACTTGGAGGCCATCTTGGACCATTTTTGAGGCCATCTTGGGCCAACGTGGCCATCTTGGAGGCCATCTTGAGCCGTCGTGGAGGAGTGTTTCTGGATGGGGATTTTCCGGGTGGCCGGCGGGACGGGCCGAAGCCCCAGGAGGAGTTCTTTTAGAAAAAGAACCTAAACCAAAGCCGAAAGGATTCAGCACGCCAGGCACCCCTCTTGCAAGCGACAGGGGGCGGCGGATCGAAGACGCCTACGGCGAATCACCGCCGCCCCTTGCCTTTTTGGAAGCGCCTGTGGCCGAACGTTGAGGCCAGACCTGCCAAGCCATCGGACCATGTGTTCCCCGAATCGGTTTGGAAAGCCTTCGGGGAACACGTGGGCATCTTGAAGGTCATCTTGGCCGTCTGGAGGCCATGTTGACATTTTCGGGCCTTCTTGGAGGACGTCTTTGAGGGCTCTTGGGCCGTCTTGGAGGCCATCTTGAGCGTCTTGGGGGCCTCTTGGGGCCGTGTTGGGCCTCTTGGGCAATCTTTGGGGGCACTTGGGCCGTCTCGGGCCGTCGGAAGGCCGAAAAATAGCAAACGCCACAATCCTTCACAAACCCATGGAAACCAATGATTTTGGCCTTTTGGGGCCTTCCTGGAGGCCCTCTTGGAGCCCTCTTGGGCCGTCTTGGGCCATCTTAGGGCCATGTTCGGCGGTCTTGGTGGGCTCCTGGCCCGTCTGATGCCGTCGGAAGCCGTTCGGGGGGGGCTCTATGAGCCGACTTGGGGCCCTCTTGGAATGCTCCAGGGCCCTTGGGCGTCTTAAAGGCCTCCTGGGCCGTCTTGGGGGCCTCTTGGGGTCGTCTTGGGACCCTCTTGGGCCGTTCTGGGGCCATCTTGGAGGCCTCTTGGAAGATCTTTCGGTGATCTTTGGGGGCTCTTGAGCCGTCTCGGGCCGTCGGAAGGCCGAACAGAAGCACATGTTAAATCCGTCAAAAACCTTAGGCACATCAATGTGTTTGGCCTCTTCTGGCCTTCCTGGAGGCCCTCTTGGGGGCCTCTTGGGCCGTCTGGGGCCAGCTTCGAGCCAACTTCGGCCATCTTGGTGGGTTCCTGGCACGTCTGACGCCGTCGGGAGCCGTCTTGGATGCCTTTCTGGGCCGACTTGGGGCCCTCTTGGCGCGCTTCGGGGCAGTCTTGGAGGCCATCTTGGGCGTCCTGGAGGCCACCTTGGGCGTGTTGGAGGCCTCTGGGGCCCTCTTGGGGCCGTCTTGGAGGCCACTTGGGCCGTCATGGGGCCCTCCTGGGGGCCTCTTGGGCGATCTTAGGGGCCTCTTGGGCCGTCTTGAGCCGTCGGAATGCAGAGAAGAAGCAAATTCCAAAATCCTTCAGAAACCTACGGAAAATCAATGGTTTTGGCCTCTTCGGGCCCTCCTGGAGAACCTCTTGGAGGCCTCTTGGGCCGTCTGGGAGGCCTCTGGGGGGCCTCTTGGGCCGTCTTGGACTCTCTTGGGCTGTCTTGGAGGCCGTCTTGGACCATCTTGGGCGGACTTGGAGGCCATCTTGGACCATCTTGGAGGGCATCTTGGGCCAACGTGGCCATCTTGGAGGCCATCTTGAGCCATCTTCGAGGATTGTTTTCCAGATTGAGCTCCTTGATATTCTTTCCGGTTGGCCGGCGGGACGGGCCGAAGCCCCAGGGGGAGTTTTTTTGGAAAGAGAACCAACACTAAAAACCATATCGTTTGGCACACCAGGCACCCCTGTGATGAATCGACAGGGGGCGGCGGATCTAGTGGCCGTCGGCCCATCACGCCACCGTATCTGGGTTGTGGGCCAGAATTTCACGGGTTGCCTCTTGGAGCCTCCTGGGATGCTCTTTGGGAGTTGGCATCGTGGAGGCCTTTTTGGGCGGTTTCCTGGGGGCCTGTTGGGGGCCTCCCAGCCGTCTCGGAGACAATTCCCCAAAACAAATCGTAATCATTTTGTTCCCTGTTCTTCGGTGTATCCGTCGCTGTGGACGTCCGCGCAACGCGTGGACAACCATGGTACAGCGGGAAGCATTTCGTGCCAATCTGAGTTCTGATCTTGCCGTGATCAGCGCATGTGGAAGCGAATCGATGCAGAGCACTGTCGGCGCCCACGCGCCTTTGGCGTATGCTCTGTGTGTGTGCTGCTCCCGCTGCAACTTCGGGCGTGCCCGTCCAGGAGCTGCTCTTCGCGAGAGCGGGCGGCCTCGGTGCACCTCCGGCGCTGGTGTCGGTGCCCCTGCCCCTCGCCTTGCTGGCGCCGCGCGCGGGCGCCGCGGAGGCGGCGCGGCGATCTTCCCGCTTGGATTCTTCGCCGTGTTCGGTGAACTGCTCGGATGACTGAAACGCCGAAAACAAGGAACGTTCGGTAAGGTTCTGGCTCCGGCCCATCCGCTCTCGCAGGGCCATCCTTTTCTGGAGGATCATCGGCGCCTCGCATCGCCTCGGTGACTCGAATCAAAAAAATTCAGAAACAATAACTTTTAGAGCTCCGCGCGGATTTCTCGGATCGGCGCTGGGCCTCTCTGGCGGTGCCTCTGGCGCCGCCCCTGGCACGCTCTAGGGGTTGGCCCGCGCCGATCCAGGAAATCTGCGCAGTGTTCCGAAAATGTGTGTTTACGTATGCAGTTCATGAAACGTTGATCAAACGTATTCGGTAATGTTAGGAGGGTGACGATTCATGTAATGTTTGGTAATGTCCGAGGCTCTGAAATGAGGATCAGTTCGGGTTCCGTCGGAAGAGGCTCGCTGTTCCTTGGATTCTTTCATGGCTGTTCCTCGTTCCTCGTGCGCCCAGGCGCTTTTGGGGCCCAACAGGGGGCTTCGTCCCTTCTTCAACATTCCTTATGGTAGTAGCTTGGCTGTGAGGCCCTGGGGGGGTCATCACTCAGCAGCACCCTGGGTGATGATGAATACACTGGGTTCTTTGGCCTGCGCGTGGGCTTCGACGTCGTCATTTGGATTATTTGATCGTCCTCTCGAAAATCGTGGGAGGTTCGCGCCACGTCGGCGAGTCGGCGCCGACAGGTTCAAGGAGGTCCGGAGATGTCTTTTCGACAATGCCGGCTGGTGGAGGCCCCGCTTTTGGCCTTGTCAGCGCCAAAAGTCTGCCCACACTGAAAACTGGCTCGGGGGAACGGTGTTGAACGATTTTAGGTCGGGGGGGCTGGTCCTCAGAAAGCAGTTGCTATCTATTGCAGGTTCTCGCCGCGTGCACGCGTCGGTGACAGCGCGGGCGTTCAATAGTAAACGCCGCCACTTGGCCAGAGTCGACCGATGTCGAATCATTCACGCTGTCGGGAAATCGTGATCTTTCAAGGTTGAATGATCCACGCGGTATCAGAAGCTAACGCCGGCGTCTTCGCGGCACGTATTTGCCATGGTCTGCGAGCTCTCCCGAGCAGGTTGGTTTGATCCAATTCGGGGGCAGTTATGAAAGTTGTGCCACGAGTAGCGTGGCGTGGCCGTAAGATTGCATGATTGGTGCGTTGTTTCTTGGGATATGTTCAAATTGATGGAGGCCATCGTGGAACTTCATAGCCCGTCGGAATGACAAAATTTATACATCAAGCATCATTTGTAAAAGCAGGCTCTTGAATGATGTTTGCCTCTCTTGGATATCTTCGGGAGGCCCTGTGACAGCCTCGAGTCACTTTGTGGCGGTGTAGTGGCTGGGGCCTCTTTGAGGCATGGTGGAGGCAAGTGTGGCATTTGGAGGCTAGCCATTTCCGAGCATGATTGCGGGCTTGCACACTCCGACCGCTCGCCACTGAGGGGTCCAGACCCAGGGGACGGGCCAGAGACATCCCCTGACAAGGCGGGCGGACCCCTTCTCGTCCCCGCTTGCGACGGGACCAGCGTGGGATGGACTCGGTTTTGGCCAGGCAGGTCTCCGAGGCGGCCGAAGACGACAGGACAGACAGTAAAGGAAACAATTGGTGGACATTCCATCTCTCCCCAACATTCAAAGTTGGCACGCGCGGGGAGGACTGCGGTCGAAGTGCAGCTCACTCAACCCACCTCCTGGTCCAACATTGATCATTGGGGCGGGCATTGACAGATGAATGTGGCATGATTGTTTGCTATCGACTGACCTTCAGCCCATCCCGTCACAGTGCCTGGGATGTGGGTATGAAGCATAGTGGATGTTCGTTGGAATCTCGTGCAAGGCCTCTGGGGGGCCTCTTGGAGGCAGTTCTGAGGCCTCTTGGGGGCTCCTCTTGTGGGTCTTGGGGGGGCTTTTGGGGCCTCTTGGGGCCTCATGGGGCGGAAGGCTAGGATTATCGGTTCGTGTTTCCTCTCTTGGGTCCCTTTGGGGGCCGCCTCGGGGCCTTCTTGGGCCGTCTTGGGCGCCTGTTGGGCCGTCTTCGGGGCGTTCTTAGATCGTCGTTGAGCCCTCTCAGGGACCTCTTGGGCCATCCTGGGGCGGTCCTGGGGCCTCTTGGGCTGCCTTGGAGCGTCGGGAGGTCGAATAGTCGAGGACCCCGACATCATTGACACACTTATGGAACATCCATGATTTTGCCCCCTCGGGGCCCTCTTGGGAAGGCTCCTCGGGGCTCTCTTGGGGCGTCTCGGAGGCCTCTTGGGCCGTCTTGGGGCCACCTTGAGTGCATCCTCGAAAACATGGGATGGCAAAGCTTGTGTTGTGTACATCGTTGGCACGTTCACCCTCCACCGTGGAAGTCTCCACGCGAAACTTCCGTAGCGTGGAATGTCCACGTTGACGGGCGTAACGTGTAGTTTCCATGTTGGCGCCGCAACGCTCCACGTTAACGTCCTCCGGAGATGCGAGGGGAGAGAGAGAGAGAGAGACCGAGAGAAAGATGACGAGAGATGACGATCATGATGATGTTGAAGATGATGTTGGTGATGATGATGCTGATGATTATGACGATGATGACGATGATGACGATGATGATGATGATGATGATGATGATGATGATGATGATGACCAGGATCAGGATCAGGATCAGGATCAGGATCAGGATCAGGAGGAGGAGGATGAGGATGAGGATGAGGATGCGGATGAGGACGAGGATGAGGATGAGGATGATGATGATGAGGATGAGGATGAGGATGATGATGATGATGATGATGATGATGATGCGGATGCTGATGCTGATGATGACGATGATGCTGATCATGACGATGATGATGGTGATGATCATAACCATGATCATGATTATCATCATCATGACCATGATGATGATGATGATGATGACCGTGATCATGATCATGATGGTACTGATGCTGATAATTGTGATGTTGATGATGAGGGTGATGATGATGATGGTGGTGGTGGTGATGATGACGATGCTGATGCTGATGCTGATATGCTGTTGCTGATGCTGATGATCATGATGATGATGATGATGATTATCATGATGATGACGGTGATGGTGATGACGATGATGATGAATGTGATGCCGAGGATGTGGATGAAGATGAGGATGCTGATTATTATGAATGTTGATGATGATGATCATGATGATCATGATGAGGAGGATGCGGAGGATGAGGATGAGGAGGAGGATTAGGATGATTATGATGGTGCTAATCATCATGCTGATGATGATGACGATGATGTTGCTGCTGCGGATGCCGATGCCGATGCTGATGCTGATGTTGATTTTGATGCTGATGCTGATGACGATGACGATGATGCTGATGATGATGATGCTGATGATGATGATGCTGATGATGATGATAATGATGATGGTGGTGGTGATGTGGTGGTGGTGGTGATTGTGGTGGTAATGGTGAATGTGATGGTGATGGTATGTGTGATAGTGATGATGGTGATGATGATGGTGGTGATGATGATGACGACGATGATGGTCACGCCTACTTGTCCGATGTCTGAAGACCAGCGCTTTTCCCGAGACAGATCAAAACAATTGGCTTCGGAGACACTATGGGGTTTCACTTGAACTTGTGCTGATGGTGAACGCCACCTCACATTTCCGTGGACGGTCGGGGAAAGTGCTTGAGCTACAGTTGATATTGTTGTTGGTGATTGGATTACCACGTTCGCTCGGGACACAGTTTAAATTGCCGTCGGACTGGACTTCGAAAACATAAAAGCAATGCAAACCCATTGTTGTTCAACATCTTGGGGCGTTGCCTGGATTTGCGCGGACAGTGAGTTACACCCGATCCCTCCCGTGGATGCTCGGAAAGAGCGCTTACTTTACAGTTGGTCTCGTTGTTGGTGCATATTATTGCCAAGCTCTTCGATTTCACGCGGTTCCCGTTCATGCCAGGAAGGGTGTTGTCATCCTCGTCTTCTCGGCCTCCAGGCCGGCAAAGGCGGCGGCCCCGTAGGCCCCCGAGGCCGCGCCAAGACGGCGCAAGAGTGCCCCACGATGGCCCTGAGGCAGGCCTCCCAACAGGGCCCCACGAGGGCTCAAAGACGGCTAACGAGACCCCTTGGAGGACACCCCCGGAGAGCCCTCAGAGGGGCCCAAAAGAGCCCCGGGCCCCAGGATGGTACGCACTAAATCGCGAAGAGACCAACGGCACAATCTGTACGTGGTGCGTTATGAACCCAGTCCGCTCGCTAGAGCGTGGCAAGCGAGACTGGGCCACTCTTCGCTCGTTTGCCCGGCTGCTAGCTCGCCCGTGGCAAACGAGCGAGCGAGCGGATTGGGCCATTTGTCGTTCGTTCGCTAGTTCTCTCGCAAACTCGCGCGACCATTTTAGCTCGCACGCTCCCTCGCTTGCGCTGCCGTCTGCTTGCTCGGTGCAAGTGAGCGAGCGGACTGCGCCATTCCTCGATTGCTCGTTTGCTCGCCCGTGGAGAACAAGCGAGCGGACCTGGGCCAATCGTCATTCGCTCGCATGTGGCGAGCGATCGAGCGGACTGAGCCATTCCTCGCTTGCTTCCTCGCTCGGTGAGCGAGTGAGCAGAACGACACACTCTTCGCTTGCTCGTGGCGAGTTCGTTGTCTCACTCCTTTGCTCGTTCGTGAGCTCGACCCGAGCGAGCGAGTGGACTTGGGCCAACTCTCGTTTGCTTGTTCGCTCGCTCGCTCGCTCGCTCGCCTGTTGCGAGCGAGCGAGCGAGTGAGAAGTGGCACAGTCCGCCGCAGAGGGTGGACGAGACATCACTGAACCACGCACTCCCAGAGAATTGCTGGGATCAGTGATGATATTGATCTCAGACTGCCCTGCTCTCCCCCTGCGAGGCGGCTGGGGCGCACAACGCGAGCGGCGGCAAGGGCTGTGAGGGTACCCAGGCCGTCCTCATCGTCTGAGCCCACACGGGCCAGCTTGCGTCTGCGGTCTCCCGAGGCTGCTGGTTACGGGGAGTCCCTTGTATACTAACCCGCCTCCTTGCACTGACGACCTTGACGAGGCTCGTCAGGGTCTGAGGCGGGAGCAAGCCGCGCTGGGATCTCCGGCGGCGGGCTGCCTTGTATTCGATCTTCGATATCATAGCCGTGGCTTGCACCCAGATAGCCACGTATGTGCGCCAACCAGCTGCTTCTCACAGGAGATCCTCTCATGCATTGGTCTGGGAGTCGAAGCAGCGATCATAAATCAATGTGTTGCTGGTTTCCTCTCTGGCCCAGTCGAAGCATAGGAGCGGGTTTGTTGCCAGGAGAAGGCTTGAAGGAATTGTTTCAATGGCCCCTCCCTCTGAGAAGCATTTCTGAGAGCAGCTTCAACCTTCGGAGATGCTCTGCGAGGTTGGACGAGGAGGAGATATAGGGGACGTCGCCGAAGAGGACAACCCCAGCCCACTTCTCCGCCCCCCCCGTCCAGGTCCAGGCTCCTATTTTGCGCTTCCGCTTTCTTTCTTTGAACTTGTTCTCCATTCTTCCCAATTCTACCCTGCACCATGCTGTGAGCGGGCCTCGGCCCCCCCTTTAGCTTAGCCTTAGCTTAGCTTTAGCTTAGCTTTAGCTTAGCTTTAGCTCAGCTGTAGCTTAGCTTTAGCTCAGCTGTAGCTTAGCTTGAACTTAGCTTGTGCTTAGCTGTTGCTTAGCTTTAGCTTAGCTTTAGCTCAGTTGCAGTTTCGATTTAGCTTAGCTTTAACTTAGCGGTAGCTTAGCTGTAGCTTAGTTTTAGCTGTGTTTTAGCTTAGCTTTAGCTTAGCTTTAGCTTAGCTGTAGCTTAGCTGTAGCTTAGCTGTAGCTTTAGCTTAGCTTTAGCTTAGCTTTAGCTTAGATTTAGCTTAGCTTTAGCTTAGCTTTAGCTTAGCTTCACCGTTACTACGAATGTTGTTTTCTTAAGGGCCCCAACTCCTAGGTAGGGCCGCACTGGGATAATTCATGATTCTCCGCCCCGCCTTCTTGCTATCATGTTTTTCATTCAAAACGTTTTTCTTACTCCGTCCTACCTCCCCGTCCCCTCCTCTACTCCTCCACCCCCTCCACTGCCCTCCCTTCCTCCTCCCTTCCTCCTCCCCCTTCTCCCCCCCTTCTTCATCATGACATGTGCTAACATCCTGCTCATTCCTACTGGTCTCCCTCTTCTTTCTCCTTCTCCCCCTCCCGCTCCTCCTTCCCTTCCACCTCCGCCCCTCCTCGTCCTCCTCCTCCTCCCCTTCCAAGGGCGAGGCGGCTGCCATGCTGCAAGCGGCGGTCGGGGCCGCGGTGGAGGCCTCGGTGACGGCCTCCGTGCGCGCTGTCCTGGGGGCTCGGCAGGTCAGGTCGCCAGTGAGGAGGCCGGCACCGACGGCGGCGCCGCCCAAGGCCAGGCCCAAGGCCCGGCCGTCCTCGTCGCCGCTCCTAGCGATCACGGACGGGCCCTTGGAGCCGCCGCCTGGCGTCTGGGTGGTCACGCCTGCCCAGCCGATGACGAAGACGGGGCACAGCCTTTCTCATGGCGTGCAGCTGGAGGTTGTGCAGTGCGCCCCGAAGAGCAAGGCGCGGCAGGGTTTCGAGCGGGCGCTCGAGGCCTACAAGCTGGAGCTGGAGAAGGAGCACGTGGGCAGGGGGCCCAGGCCGACGAAGTTGGAGCAGGGCTACCCGCGGGACGCCTACGAGGGCAAGAAGGACACGAAGGTCAAGAAGGACAAGAAGAGCAAGAAGGACAAGCACCGGGGCAAGAGCAGGAAGCGCAGCCGCAGCTGATCGAGTCCATCGGCATCATCTCCGCGGCGGAGCTGTCCAAGCTCCTGGTGGGCGGCTTCGGTGCAGGCGCAGCTGGCGCGGTTACGGCCTGTGGCGAGCCGCAGTTCTTCGACTTGGCCGGGGACGGCGACGACGAGGACGAGAGCCGTGTGACAGACGGCTGGGCCAGCTGGCATGGCCTGGGCGCGGAGGTCACGCAACAGGAGTTCGAGGAGTCTGAGAAGATCGTGGAGGTGCCGCAGGCGGTTGTCGGCGGCGAGGGGCTCGAGGCGGGCATCGACCTGGTGGTGCCAGGCTTAGGGCTGCCGCCCGGGGCCGACGAGCAGCTCAAGCAGCAGGAGGTCAAGAAGGAGCAGCAGGGCAAGCTGGGAGCGGATTCGGTTGCGACGGTTGCTCCGGATTTGGCCGAGTTCCCCAAGGAGGAGAAGGGCATCGAGATGGTTCAGCAGCCGCAATTGGCGCTCGGCGAGGGCGTGCAGGTGGAGCTGAATGGCGACAAGGTGAAGATCGCGGAGATGGTCTCCAAGGACACCTGCAGCGGCGTGCAGAGCATAGTGGAGCAGGTGCTCGGCGACTGCTGCAAGCAGTTGGTGGACGCAGGTGGCGACCGCGCGAGCGTCTTGCGCTGGCTGCAGGAGCAGCCCGAGTTCGAGGGCCTAGGCGTCGCAGCGTGCGCCATCGCGGGCTGATCGATTTGATCTTCAGGTTCTGAAGGGCCACGGCGCGGCCGCAGCGCCGAGCGTTTCCCTCGGGATTCGATTTAGTCAGCACCCTCAGCACCCTTCCTCCTCCTCCTCCCCCTTCCCCTTCCTCCTCCTGCAAAATCAGCGCCATCAAGTAAGTCTGTAGCCCACCATGTGCAACTATAGAAGAAAACGGGCACACACACACGAGCCAAGTCAGGGGACTCCCTCCTGCCCTCCCCCCGCGGCGCCTGCCCCTCCCTGACCTCCATGCATACTGTCGACGACACCCTTGAAGTCCGTGTTTCCTGAGGCGGTGGGTGGTCGAAAGAGTTGGTTGGTTCCTGGGGGGCGGCCGCCGAGGAGGGCACGGAGTTCCTTACGCTTACGGTTTCGCATGCGGCGCTCACTGAATGCGAGCGCTTGCTCCGTCGTGCATCTCAGCAAACTCTCCTGTGCTAGGCACGACAGATTACAGGACAACCGTGATATAGGACCCAGCACGCGTGGAGTTTGTGGCCGAAGTGCCCAGGTTATTTGAGGGCCCTCAGGACGCTAGGGTTCAGGCTCTCACCGACTAGCAGTACGAGGGCTTGCACTACTCCCTTTGCTAAGTTCTGCGTGCAACTCTGCTGGAACGGGTCGTTCGGCCAAGATCTGAGCAACAATGCAGCAACGAATTTTATAATGAGCCAGCGCGCGCTGCATCTCATTGCAAGTGTGCTTGTCAAATTCCTGAATCCGGGTAGTGATGAATTGGGGCCGCCAGTCTTCAAAGCAAAAGGTTAGCATGAAAAACTCGTTCGGTGACGCACGGCCGCCGGGTCACCTATGATTCCACTCGCACCACAATGTTTTAGATGACCGGCCTTGTCGTTCAAGAACTGTGCAGTGTGGGGCTCCACTTTCTGCCAGATCACGTACTGGGCAAATTGATCAAACATGAAGTGTGCCCTCAGGACCAGCCTGATGCTGTGCCTGGCCCGAGCCCGCCGTTGTACCGCGTTGGCGGCGTACTCGGAGTCATGCTCAAGGATGACCCGCGGCGCTCCCGGAGGAGAGGGTGACATCGAAAACCAATGTGTCACATGATCACGAATCCGATCTTGAATCAAATATAGTGCAGCATTTTCGCCCGCGTTGATGCTGCGGTGGGCAGCCCCACGTAAGCACGGGTCATTCGGGTCGAGGGCAGCGGGGGCGCATAAGTCTAGCAAGCCGGTCGGCGCCACGGCGGTCATTGTGAATCCCCAGCCAGAGACGAGTTTTTCCAGCGATAGTTCCGCTGAGCCGTCGCAAGAAAGTGTGTTTATTGTAGTGTCCTCCGGCCAGTGCCGCCGATCCGGGGGCGCTCCCGATGCGATCTGGTTGGTGGAAGGGGAGGTGGAGAAGTAGGTGAGGATGAGGCGGATGCGGAGGGAGGTGGAGGGAGGGATTGCCTCACGACGGCCCAAGACGGCCTAAGCAGCCCCCAAGAGGCTTCCAAGACGGCACAAGAGACCTCCAAGTGGACCTCTCCTACCTACGACATCGCGAGCAGCCTCGGTTCCACGACGGAGCGTGAGCACACGGGCTTCGTTTCCTCACGTCCAGGGCTCCGCCCTGCAGATGTTCTCACAGGAGGCGCTTCTGGTCTCACAGCGCGCCTTGCGGCTCTGGACGTGGGGGTTGCGGCCCCTGCGGCACGCGGCGCCGGCACGGATTGTTGCGAGGCGATGCGATGTCGCAAGGTCGATCGGCTCGCGCCATATGCGCACGAGTTGGACGCGGCGGGCGTCGACTACTGACTCATCACGTTCAGTTGCTTTGGGCGCCCGCATCCGCAGGCCCAGCAGCTCGTTTCGAGCTTGGCTCGCCGCGTGGCCCGGCGCAAGGGCACCGAAGTGCACGTAGAGGAGCGCCGGATTTGGTGCCGGATCTCCATCGAAATTTGGAGGCGAGCGGTGCGAATGATCCGGCGCTGCCTGCCCAGCCACGCCCAGGAGGTCGCTGATGAGGACGATGCCTATCACGACCCAGACGTGGAATTCAGGCGCGGGCACCCTGGCAGCGTCGTCACCTGCGGGGTCGGCGTCCGCAGCCGCGCCCTCGGGTTAACCGAGGGCGCCGCCTCGGAGAAGCCGCGGCGCCACTGCAGCTTGTGCCGGGCCCTGTGATCCCACCGCTTCGGGCCTCTCTCCTCTTGCCCCGCCCCTCCTCCCTCCCCCTCCTCCCTCTTCCTCGACTCCTCTCTCCCCCCATGCCGCGCTGATTGGGGTCGCTCTTTTAGCGCATTGTCATTGCTTTTGGGGCCCGCCCAAAACAGTCACCCAAGGCCTTTGGTGACTGTTTTGGTCGCGCGGGCTTGGGCCTCGCAGCGGTGGCACAAGCCCTGCTGAAGGGACAGGATTTGTTCAATTTTGGGTGCACCGGCCTGTCCGCGATTTTAGGCGTCCTGTCTTCCTCTTCCTTCCCTCTTCCGCCTCCTCCTCCCCCTCCTCCCTGGCGCCCCCTGCGGTGCGTTCGGTGTATGAATGTAGAGCATCCGGACAAAAGTGCTCGCTCCCGCCTTGGCGCCGGTAGCAGTTTTGGAACGCTGGGGGGCCCGATGCTGTATTTTTCGGATCCAAGCGCCCTCTCCACAAACACCTGGTGTCGCTGAAGACCGGTGTTTTGAATTTGTCAGGCCTGCTGGGCTTTTAAACCGGTGACTTTGTCCCTCGCCGGTGTTTTTTTCATTTTTGGGATGTTGCTGTACATAAAGTCGCTGGTCCGTCCCTGCCGCGTCCTGTCACGGAGTGCGCGGGTCACTCGAGCGATGTCGTGGTCGCCTCTCTGTCCGATTCATCCCCTCTGCTTTCCTCATTTCCCCCCCAAAAAAAAGGAGAAAATAAATAAAGCATGATCATTTTGATATGTGGACAACGTAGAGAGTGCACGCAGGGCGTCTGTTTTTTTGTATTTCTATCACAATGGAATTACTCCAGGGAGTCGGCGTACAGCGTGCACGCATTTGAGTCATTTTTTCTCCCTCGATGGGGGGTTGTGCACGGTATCTGTGGCTAGTTGACCGTCCTCCTCCTCCTCCTCCTCCTCCTCCTCCTCCTCCTCCTAATCAGCACTCTTCTTATTTCCCTCCGCATCCTTTCCCTTCTCCATCTCCCTCCCAACTTCCCTCCGCCTCCACCACCGCATCCTCCCTCCACATCCCTTTTCCCCCTTCTCCTCCTCTTCCGCCACCTCCGCGCTCCCTCCGAGAACGCCGCAACGGTAGCCGCGAGGAGAAAACACGGGGCCCCGCGGGAAGGCAGGCGCTCCGAGGTCCCTCTCCGGGCCCTTTGCCCGGGTCCCAGGGTTGCTTGGAGACGGGCCCAGGGCGAAACAGTGGTTGGGGGGGAGCCCCAGGAAGTCTGGGGCCCCCTTTTTGTGCGTATGTCCGCTGTCCTCTTCGCCGGCGCTTGGCATCGCTCGGACGTGTGCATGTTTTCTCGGTGCGGATCATCATGTGCTCTTCACCCTGCGAAAACACTCACGCACGTCACCGAAAAGTGCACAGGGAGTGGACGTCCGAGCGATGGCGAGAGCGGCGCCCCTGCCGCCCTCGACCGCGCCCTTCGTCCCAGCGGCCTGGCGTCGAGCGCCCTCCGCGCCTCCACGCCAGTTGATCGAGAAGTCCAACAAGGCGGCGGCGGACGCCCTGTCCGCGGCGCAGGCGCGGCGCGGCGGCGGGGGCCTTTTGTCGGTTTGAGCGGCGCACGTCCAGGCCGTTTGCTTGGCATCGTTCAGACGTGTGCATTTTTCTCGGCAAGGATCATCAAGGAGCATGTGTTGTTCACCTTGCGAAAAGATGCACGCACGACCGAAAAATGCACAGGGAGTGGACGTCCGAGCGATGGCGAGCCTCAACGGGGGACAGAATCAGGGGGGACGCATCGACACCCAATCGGCCACTCGTCGCCGAGAGGGACCCCACAGCCCACCCCTCCCAGCAACGTGCAGATGCGCCATCGGGGTCCTATCGCCGATCTATCGGCGATGCATCGCTGGTTGCAGGTCGATGCTCCCCCCCCTGAGCCAGCCCCCCCCCCATCGTTGCCCCTCAGGCAGGGGTCGGGGGAACACGCCGCAGCGGCGGTGCATCGGCGACGCGGCCGGCTTTCGGGCCCCGTGCCATCCATATGTTTTGGCGTCGCCGACGCACTGCCAACGCATCGGCCGGTGCGGTCCAAGCTTCTTCTGAACGCCCATCTGTTCGGGCCCCACTTGGGCGACCTTCAGAACAGCTGGCGCAAGGATTGAGGGCAGCCCCAGCATTGGGAAGGTACGGTTATGTTCTTCGTGTCTGGGCTCTCATCAGCGGCGGGCGAGGGAGGAAAGTGAAAAGGAGAGGGCCTTCTCAGAAGGCGGCGGGATGTCTCAGAAGCCCGCCGGCCTTCTGACAAGTTTTCTGCGTCTCCGGGTACGGCTTGGAAAACTTCTCAGAAGACCAGGGGACTTCCGAACCTTCTGAGAAGTCCTTCTCCTTCTCACTTCCCCTCCTCGCTCGCCGCCGATCTCCACTTTGGAATGTCATTCGGTGGGCCGCCTGAAGGGCATCTTGGGCAGTCTTGGAGTCATAGTGGACCGTCTTGGTGGCCTGTCGGGCCCTCGTGTGGCCATCTTGGCCGGCGTTGTCGGCCGAGGCCCTTCTGGGGACCTCTTGGAAGGGGCGAGACAGGCCTCACGAGTCTGGCACGCCAACAACCCCTTCTGTAAGCAACACGTGGGAGCAGATCGAAGACGCCTACGACGAAGCACCGCCGCCCCCTGCCTTTTGGAAACGCCCATGCAGCCAAACGTTGAACCGAAGCCTGGCCAAGCTGTTGGACTATGTGTTTCCCCCAGCCATTGTGGAACCCCTTGAGGGGAACACTTGGGAGACTAAGAGGAATGAG